AGTTAGGTTTTTCAATTTAATGTAACAACAACAATCATAGACACACACACATACACACACACAGACATACATGCATACACACGACCGATGAAACAGAAACGGGATGACGGATGTCGTGTGATCGTGGCAGCTTAACAGCGTGAAACGAAACACGAGGCAGCGGCTGGTCCACGAATCTCAGCTGAGTTTTTCTCCGCGCCACCATTATCGATTTTCACGACGACACGCTTTCTGTTCTTCGCCATCTTCTGATGAGTTCTACGAGACGAACGAGGAGAAACGCGTACTACATCCATGTGACACACACACACACACACACGTACACACATGCATACACGCATACACAGACTTCCGTAATAAATACCTGGACGAGAAAAGCCGATTTATTCTCGCGAGACGCGATCCGAGTTGGACACATAATAAAAAAAAAAAACAAGGGCGTGTGTGCCCGCTGCTGCCTCGCCATCCCTGACTTTTCAATCTTCTTTTCGAAGGATTCGTTAAGGCTGATTTGTTCAAAGACTTGGTTGCCTCGCTGCGAATAATTTTATTATTTGTATAAGAAAATGTATTTATCTCTAGTTAGGGATACATTAGACTGTGCTCCCATATATCCCTTTCGCGGCTCGGGAGAAACTCGCTCGCGATCGAGGCGGTCTCGAGGCTGGCCTTGAACCTCGTCAGCGAGCTTCCCCTGCGAGTTGCCCGTGTTAATCTCGGTAACCCCTAATAGACGCGTTCTACAATTGTTTTGACCCTTAGCCAGTATTACGTTGATGTAATAAAAAAAAGAAAAAAAATTTTAATCGCTTCGTCTCGTTTGTTTCTTGCCCCTTCCTCGAGCTTTCCACCTTCCGTGGCAGACATCGAGTTTTCAAAATGTTCTCAACCTGTTCTCGCTTCACGTGCACGTGGATCTTTCGATTCTTCAAAACAGCAACGAAACTAAGTGTGGCGTTTCTCACGGCAAGAGAGGAAAGTAGTAAAGGGCCTATGGTAAATATAATTTATTCCGCATAAATTTTTCGTTAACATTACAACTAAACGTGGTATGTACAAATATATATATATACATATATATATATATATATA